ATCAGACACTGCAGAACAAACCCCACGCAAGTGCCATGTGGAATGGTGGATGCTAAGATAAAAGCATTCTTATAAGCAAGCGCGCCCTGTACAATTCTAAGAAGCTTTTTATAGTTCACTCTTTTATTTTATGCATGAGTGTCCACATGGGAAAATGAGCTGTTTTTATCTTATCCTGTTTTTGCCCAACAATGTTTCTATGCATTGCAAATTATGAGTCAAGCATGAAATGATTCAGACGTGAGGTTTCTGCTATATTTTGTGGTTTAAAAAGTTAGATTACAATCCAACTCAACACTTATACACCTGAGCTATTCAAAACCGAGTTCTTACCTTACGATGCTGGAAATCTTCAACAAACTTCGAAATTTTTAAAATCCAACTGGCCAAGGAGACAAGAAAGAACAACTTGACAGGTCGTCTTCAAATTGAAAGACTGGTACCCAGTCTTCCCCCAGACTAGATAGCGGGACTTATGGGATTGGTATGGACTTACGGACTCAAGGAGGTAGACTACGAGTAGTCCTCCATATTTCCTCAGGGATAGTAGTAACCTGAGATCAGGCTCTATTTTCGTTTCGCTTCGTAAATAGCAGTTAGAGAGAATGTATGAGAACCGCTCAAATTAGGCCTGATCTCAGGTTAGGATAGTAGAGCGAGCGAAACGCAAGCGCGCGTGAAAATCACCCCGCGCGAGAAATGGCAACACGCGGCAAAAATCTTCTTCCCGCCGCGTGTCGCCTTCTCTCAATTCAATTCAACTCAATTCGCGCGTGGGGTGATTTTCACGCGCGCTCGCGTTTCGCTCACTCTACTATCCCTGGGGAAAAATGGGGGACTACTAGCTCGTAGTGTATCGAGGAGGAGTCTTGGGTCTACTTTAAGCTTGAGAACGTTGAGGGATATATATTTCGGTTGTTTACTATTCCACTGAGGGCCCAGTTGTTCGAAGGCCGATTAGCGCTAAACCAGGGTTAAATTTTAACCTGGGTTTCTTTTTCTTTTGCTCAAAAGCCGATTTTCCCGATAATTTTCTCTATTCTTTTTAGAGCATCCAATCATCAAATTTTAGGCAAAAAGAATAAAACTGAATTTCATATCTGAATTCAAATTTCGACCTAACCCTGGGTTATCTTAAACCTGCTTTGAACAACCCGGCCCAGGAGAATAACCAGCCATCTTTTCTCTTTAAGCCCAAGTCGCTGTCGTCCTCGAGGTAAGGGGAAGACCGGCCGCTGAAGGATGTATAGTTCAAAACGTGTGTTAGGGACCCCATATTAGCGAATAGCAAATGATGTTTCAAACGCTTCTTTTGATATTTTAAGCAAAACAAATACGTAGTTAACGGAAAAGTCTATAAAAAGGACATCAGAGAAGGTCTCATGGGCGACATCCTGTAACAGGTTTCACTGTAGTACAGAGCAAACGCTGACCTATCGTGAAACAATTACAGACAATGGCCTTCTATATGCTAGAGACGTTACATCTTAAGACAAAATTAACGTCTAGTACAAAAACGGCAAAAAGAGAGACGCATTTAATTTGGTCTTGCTACTCAGTGATATAAAGAGGAGACCCCCGATCTATACTATTATCGATAAGGGTTATACAAGTGCTGCTGTGAAGGGTATTCATTTACATCGTAATAAGTTGTTTACTCTTGGATAAGGGGTATAAATCAGAGAATTTGGGTCGCTGGTTGGGTGGTGCATTTCGCGGGCTTAATGAGAATTTGAAAGGCTATTTTAAGCCCGCTGAAATAAACCAATCAAAAAAGAGGATCAAACAATCATACGATGCAAGCAGCCAATCAAAATAGATAAGCCATTACAATGTTCGGCGCGCCGTTTTATTGCATCGTTTGTGAAAGAAATCAGAGGGCCATTTTTAAAGCCCCAAATCGCGATTAAAAACGTAGAAAACAACAAAAAAATTGTAAATTGTCAGTCTCCTTAGCTAGAGGAACCGGAAGAACATCTACAAAAGAAGAAGAGAAGCTTCTTATCTTGTAAACGCTCGCGTGATTGATTCAGACTGTCTTGTTGTCATTTTATAAAGTCTTTATTTTTTCAATGCCCTCTAAAGTGATAATAATAGTTATAGAGTTTATGTTCTTGGGCATAAATGTGTTTTGGGCCCCTCTCAGAGCTCATTTTAACCGTCGCCTAGCGGCTCGGGCTAAAAGGAGACTGAGTCGGGCCCAGAAGCTAGCCTTTTTACACAGCCCTTCTTAGGGGTTCGTCACCCGTCCCCACGAACGTGGACAGGAACTCGTGACGAACCCCTAAGAACGGCTGTGTAAAAAGGCTAGACCCATTGTTTCCAATTTGTAATCCATTTCCATCCTGTTAATAGAAAAAGGCCAAAGACACGCACTAACAGTTATGATAGCGTTTTCAGAACTCAAAAGGAATTATACCAGAAAATAGTGACCCAATCAGATAGTAGTAGATATCCTCGCACTGGCGAAGACATGATAAATAAATAATTTCCTTAATAACAAAAACTAAGCTTAAAGTTCGAATACAATATGTTTTGCTCAAATCTCTAAAATATCTCGCCCCAGAGATTAAATACAAAATTGTCATGCCAGTTCAGGGACTTCCTTACAACAATCACGAAAGGTCTGCATTAAATATCAATGATGTAACCTAGAAAGTAGTACAAAATCTCACTCGTCCTCTTCTTCGTTTTCTTCCTTGTCGTCCTCCTCCTCGACAATAAAATCATTTAAGGAGAAGATGGCTGCGAGAGCCTGGGAGAGAAAAGCTGCACCAGAAGCAACAATCCAGTTCAAACCCAGTCTAAGATTAGTTAAGAAGATAAATGCAAGAGACTGGGAAGGAAAAGCAGCACCAGAAGATCTAATCTTGTCATTACTCGAATCCAATTGAGTAACAGAGGAGTTGGTTGAAAGGTCCTGGGAAAGGAAATCCGCACCAGAAGCTCTTATCTCGGGATCACTCAAATCCACAATAGGTAGAGATGAGCTGACTGCAACAGCCTGGGACAGCAGCACCAGAAGCGCTAATCTCGTTACTACACAAATCTAAAATAGTTAAAGAGTAGTTAACTGTAAGACCCTGGGAAAGAAAAACAGCACCAGACGCACTAATCTCGTTCTTGCTCAAATTCAAGTTGGTTAAAGAGGAGTTGGCTGCAAGAGCCTGGGAAAGGGAAGCAACACCAGAATCACCAATCGTGTTTAACTCAAATTCAGATTTGTCAATGATGAGTTGACTGCAAGAGCCTGAGAAAGAAAAGCAGCACCAGAATCACCAATCCAGTTCTCACTTAAATCCAAACTAGTCAAGGAAGAATTAGCTGCGAGAGCCTGGGAAAGGGAAGCAGCGCCTGAAGCAGCTATGCAGTTCAAGCCCAAATTCAAACTAGTTAAGAAGTTACTAGTTGCAAGAACCTTACAGAGGGAAGCAGCACCAGAAGCACCAATTTCGTTCCAACGCAAATCTAGATTAGTTAAAGAAGCGTTGATTGCAAGAGCCTGGGAAAGAGAAGTGGCACCAGAATCACCAATGCAGTTCCAACCCAATTTTAAATTAGTTATGGAGAAGTTGGATGCAAGAGCCTGCGAAAGGGAAGCAGCGCCATAAGCACCAATCCAATTCCCACTCAAATCCAAATCACTCATGGAAGAGTTGGCTGCAAGAGCCTGGGATAGGGAAAAAGCGCCGTAAGCACCAATCCGTTTTCCACTTAAATCCAGATTAGCTAAGTTGAGGTGTGTCCCTAAGGTATAAGCTAAACTTGTGCACTCCAACGTGCAGTCTAAAGCAGATAGAAAATTTCCCGAAATATCTCCATCAGACGTTTGACCTATCAAATTAATATTAGCAGCCACACATTCTATAAGAAGACTCTGTAGTTCTCTTACTCTTGGTGGCCAAAATTCCAATGGTAAATAAAAAGACTTGTTTCAGTTCATGCTTAAATCTCTGGTCAGCTACCACTGAGTCACAGTCAATATCTCCGTCAAGGATTTGACAAGCAAGATAGAATCCAGAAAAGAACTCCTGGAAGCTTTTGTGGAGAAATGCATAACGTGCCCGAGCGTTCCTCTTACTGGCACTTGCCTGGAGTGAAAGAAATCCAAACTTGGATAAAGCAATGAAAGTGCCGTCAGATTCTTGTTCTTCAAAATGTAACTGTCCTTTTACTAGAGACTGTAACGCCACCCGTCCTAAAGGCATTAACTCTTCTTTGTAGATTCCCATTGGGTCCTCATTCTTGCTCGAACGTCCTTGCTTTTTTTCGTACCGTCTCAAAAAACAAGGGACAATTCAGTGTACAATTGAGTCCTGCTCGTTGGAAAGACGCCGTCAAAATCTTCACAAAGGACGCAGACTAAAGTTGTGTTTAAAGGAGTTTTTGTGAATTCGTACAAAAATAAGTTTTCAAATTTATCGGCATACCAAAGTTTTTCTATCAATTTCTCGGCAAGGTGCTCTTTGTCGATGTTTTTAAAGTATTTACGAATGAAGGTTACTGTTTCTCTCCTGGTGAATCCTACAATCTCCCATAGAGTGTCACAGTATCTCTTCAGTTTCTTTCCCACCTCATGACGAGATGTGAGTACAACCTGACAACCTGAGAGTCCCTTACCATCGACAAGGTCAAAGGTTGCTTTAAGTTCACTGGAATTCATTTCATCTAGTCCATCAAGTACTAACAGAACTTTAGACTGATTTTTACGAATGAATTCGAAGAAACATTCCTTGGCTTGATCGTCAATTTCCGTTGGAAGAAGTTGATCATCAATAGCTTCCCAGATGCTAGATTTCATTTAATTGCATTTAATTAGCGGTAGCACTTCAATCTCTGGAAAAGACGGGTCCTATTCCTCCTGCTTAGTTGCCCAATCGTACGCTAACTTTTGACAGTACGTGGTTTTCCCCATTCCGGGGTCTCCTTCAATCAAGACTGTTCGCGGTCTTTGGCATTCTGGGTGTGCCTTAAAGATCCCAGTCATATTGGTTATATCATCAGTAAGTACTCCTCGAAGTTTTTTCTTTGCCCACGATCTTTAATCTGGTAAATATATTATTCAGATGAAAGCTAAAATCTTCACACCAAGGAACTGGAAGAAGGCGTTGTGCACGTATTCTGTACACCTGACGGATCTTTTCTAGGATGTCGCTGGGAAAAGACAAATCTAAAAAAAAGTAAAAGAGATTAAGTGTGTTTAGTTTGGCTTCCTTGAACTATGTGCATTCAAGTTTCAGTAACGTAGTAATGAGATTGAATGCTCCACGTTGACATTGTCGTTTACATTACCAACGTTTGATTCTCTTTCTGTACTTATTTCCTTACGTTCACCGTCATCCTGTTTAGCAGATATCACTCATAGCTATGTGGTAACGGCGTAGTTATTTTCCAAAATGTTAAAAGCCTTCATCTTAATAGCCGAAACAACCCAGGCCGGGCAAGTAGTCATGGGGCATGGGCAAGTGAGCTACCTTGTCTAGCATGTTAACTCTTCAATGCGTTTTCTAAAGAAAGGGGCAGGGCAACTATGCACAGTCTACAGCAATGTCAATAGGCCTTTTCTGAATTTTGCTTACCATTGCCCCAAACTGTACATGTGAACTGACCGCTTTGCCCACGTAAATGGTAAACAACCACCGACCTTGCGTTAATCCCAATTAAAAATAAAAACTAAAAGAGGAAGTATTTGCAGATACATAAAAAACCTAGTTAAGAACAGCGAATTATGTTTGTACTTCTAAGGCTCACCTTCTGTGTCATAAGTGTCTAGACGTTCCAGTTCATTCAGCTTGTCTTTGCTGCTATCCTCGACCTCCTTCCACTGCTTAAGGAGTTCTCGGAAATGCTCCTCATCGAGGGGGTCCATTTCCTGATCCATAATTTCATCAATGACATCTCCACAATCAGTTCCTGCCAATCGCACAAGTGTTTCACGGATCTGTTGCCAGTAGCTAATGAATACAGCATAACTAACTGAGCCTTCCCCACAATGGCTAGACACAGCATTCATGAAATACGGGCAATGTCAGACTCACGACTAGTGTCTGTTGAAAGAGGAGGTGCATCCCAGCCAGCAGGTGGAGGACTCAGATCACAGATTGTCCTCAGAAGGACTATCAGGAGGGGGATGTCGAAGCCTGCAGATGAAACTTCAGAGGATAAGGTAGCTGGATATAGTTTAGTCCATTGGATCGAGCTAAGTATTCCTTCGTTTCGACGTGACTGCAGCTTAGAGTGTGCTGGGTTACGTTTCAAAATGCGTTGAAGATTCTGCGGTGGAATTATGCCGTCAAAGATTTCTCTGAGGGCTTTTGAACCCAAGCTGATGAGAAGACGACATAACCGGGAGTAATTAAATCTTTCTTTGTTGGAGGTTATCTCAGCAGACTCAGGATCTAAAAGAAGAAGAAGAATACATCAATCGTTGAAAATGGCCGAATTTATACTAGAGACGAGTTACCCGTCTAGACAGATTATTCGTCAGACGTATAATTTGTCTAAGTATAAATCCGAAGACAAATTTCGTTGACAAATAATTTATCTCGACATTTATTAATTTATCCCAGGAAACATTGCCAAAATATAGAAACCAGTCCCTCTCATGTGGAAACTTCGTCAAAAAACCGTCTACGTTCCGTCTAGATATAACTTTAGAGACGGATAATCCGTCTAAGACGAATTATCCGTCTGTTAGCACGTCTTCAAGACGTGCTAACAGGCGAATCAGCTCAGACGAATTTTGCTTCATAATTCGTCGTAGCACCGAATTTATACCAGAGGCGAATTATCCGTTGGAGACGGATAATCCAGATAATCCGTCTAAAAGGAATATTCGTCTCTAGTATAAATTCGGCCAATTATTGATTACTTAATTGTAGGACTGATAACAACGGTAACTCTATAAGAAAAAGTAATCTTAAAATCGAGGTACAGACCTTAGTCGCTTTATACGCTAATCACGAAAACAAATCGAGAGTTATTCCCGGAAGAAAGTCCCATTCAGTTAGTCTTCCCCAGAGGTTAGTAGTAGATTTACTTTTACATAATTAAAATCATTCTCTCCCCTCAAATACAAATAAAAGATAAGAATCCTGGCAGCAGGCAACCTAGTCCGAATTGCAAGTTAAAGATCCTGACTTTTTCGCATAAAAAACGTTTAAGGTAATCCAGGGTAATTGAAGACAGCATGACTAATTAAAAATAAAAACTGTTGAGTTTCAAAAGAGATAAATTATGAACACCAAAGAAGTGCCTACATTAAAACACAACAAAAAAAAATCATCTAAATTCATACCGTGAGTCCAGCTGATAATCTTGTGAAAAACGTCGTGTATCTGTTTAGCCCAGTTGTATTTCTTGTCATAAGAATCACGCAAGGTTTCCACTTCCTCAAGTCGACTTTTCCTATCCTTGCCAAGGATTTTCTTAATGGCCGTGGTCCAATCAGTGGGGTTCTCTGAGTTAACTACAACTGATAAACCAAATGGTACACTGCGCAATGCTTCTCCAAATCCTGAATTGCAGCTGACGAGCACAGGCAGACCAGCTGACAGGTCCTCAAGCCCTGTCAATCCGAAACCCTCTGATCTTGAAGGCATGACTACAAGATCCAGTTCTTGAAACAAGCGCTTTAAAGTCTCTCGATCTTCAGCGAATCCCCTTACTCTCAAACGACTTGCAGGAACACCACATTCGGTGAACCGTTTCGCTACTTCTTCGTGTTTTCCATCTGGGGCGCCAACAAACACAAGACGGGTATCTTGTAGCAACAGCTTTCCCAACAATGTCAAACCCCTTTAATTTGAAATCTTCTGCGTCCCCTCGACCAAACACCAAGACACTGCGTTGTTTTCTTTCTTCCATAACCTGACACACGTTGACAAATTCTTCAATATATTAAGTCCACTACTCACTTATTTTTTTGGCGCCCACGAAAATACGAACGGAAGGCCTCACTCAACTTGGGTCCAACTCCAACAACGAGGTCCGCCATTTCACACAACTCTACTTCTGTCTTATGTTTCTCTTCACCCTTGGAAATTCGGTTGGGATAGTCCTTAAACATTCCTAATTCTTCTGGGTCGGTGTGGACCACTTGAATCCATTTGCATTTTTTCAAGTCTTCAATGATTTGTGCTTGTTTCCCAAGTTTAACATCATGGCCGACGATTATGTCGATTTGTAATTCCTCTGGTGGAAAGCTAAGCCAATCTAGTTCTTCAAAGCCAGGTCTTCGTTTTGCCTCTACGATCGTTACCTTGTGTTGGAGGGCTAACGTTTTATCCTATTGACTGCATTTTGGAAGAAAGAAAGTGAATTCCACCTCACGATATTTGGCCAACTGAATGGCTAATTCTCTGTTTATGGTAGAAAGCCCCCCTTTGCTGGATCCCCATTCAGAAGCCAAAATGGCGACTTGCAGTTTGCGGGATCTTTGCGGCGGCTCATATTTTGATCTTTCCATGATGACTGATAAGTCATTTCCAAGCATGCTCAGACTAGCCAAACGTCTAAAAGATAGAAACTTAATAGTAGCAAATGATCAGGCAAATTTGCGACTAGAAATTGATCAAGGATCCCTGCTGTGACTAACGTTTAACCTGAAGGTTTATGAGTGCGTTTACCCGTGTCTATCGACGTTATTTGACCATAGAGTTAACTATTTCAAACGAAGGGATTACAGGTTACGCTGAGAAAGTTTAACCAGTGAGACGTGGAATTCATAAACAGTCCGGTTATGTAAAGAAATCAAACCAACAGAGCGCCGAATTCGAAACGACACAAACAATATTTAGATGCGCATGAGTATATCAGATACATTTTTTTCCAAATAAATATAAGCGCTTTCATGGCCTATGAAGCAAACAATTCTTAACAGCGGATAACATCAACTCGAGTGGTCGGTATCTCATATAAGAACTTTGAACGCAGAGAACTGCACAACGCAGAATAGAACTGAGTAGGTGTACCTCTCGTTGCCGGATCTCTTTCGTTGACCGCCAGATTCAGCTCCAATGAGCAATCCTGCAGTTTCGTACCAGCCGTCACTGTGACATGTAAATAAAACTATTATAATTGCAAGGCTGCCACTATAGCTACTGTAAAAGGGCAGTTTTAATGAGGCTAACATTTTGGCTAGGTCAACCAGTCTTCTTCAGGGCAGTCAGGGCCAGTGCTGTAAAGAAAGAAGCTCTACAATTTGATTTCTAATACACATGATATTAAGTAGTTGCGGAGTTAACTCGTGTGTGAACAGAAGAAAGATTCTCGAAGTTATATACACAGCTGATCGAAACTGAAGCAGTTATCACTTTCAGGCCTCAAAAATTCAGGCTTGGAAGGGGCTCGAAGTTATGACCCTACGAAACCGGACAGTGCTCTTACTAACTGAGATATCAAACTGGTTAGGAGCTAGTCGTACTGTGGGTTCGAAATACCGTAAGGATAAATGCCTGAAAGCAGAGCCTGAAAGAATATGTTGTGGTTCAATTTTATCCCAGCGGGTTGAAATTTAATTTTTTTTTTTATTTAACTCATTTTCATGCATTACCATACCCCAAAACAAAAGGAAAAAAATTTTAGAATTAAAAATTCATCTCAAATATTACCTAAATGCAACAAACAGTTATATCCGGCGCGTGTAGCGAAAGACTATAAGCACGAAAAAAAATGTTCATTGGTTCATAAGTCTCCATGCGGACCCACGCTCGTAGACGCTGGTTGGGGGGGACGGAGGTGAGGAGTGTTGAGGAGTCCGAAGGCAGCCCAACAGAGAATCTTGCCTCCTTTTATCGGAAGGAACAGAATTGCTAACACGCGTCTGTTTAGAATTCGTGTAAATGAGTGAAAGTTCTGGTATCAGATTAATATATACTTAACTTATATAGTGCCGATATAAATTATAGCTATTTCAAAATATGTCCCGTCATTATAGTTATGTAAATTAATGCTAAATTGTCGTTAAAAATATGGGCTCTATCACGAGTACTTGACTTTGTTCAGCCAGGCAAATATTTGACGACAAAAGACTAACAAAAACGCTGAGAAGACTTTAGAAGACAACAGCAATTTTTCAGGCGTGGAGCAGTGACTGTCAGCGAAACGTAACTGAAAATGAAACCACACATAAAGGAGTTAACGGACAAGGCGAAAGAGAGAGAGGTGTTTGACACTTAAGACCATAATAACTGACCACACCTAAAGCATCAGTGTCAATGGCAGTATCTCTGAACCTATGTCGATTCAGTTTGGTGTCCCTTAGGCGGTAATGTCCTTGGCACACCCTTATTCATCATGTACATCAACAATCTTCCGCTCGCTGTAAGAGCATAAGGTGTAGAGATCTTAGCCAATGATACGCTTTCGCTGGTAAACTCGGTAGCGAAAATGAGGCTAAACTTCCATCTGATCTAAATAGTTTAATAAGCTGATTCCAGTACAACTTCTCGATGCTTAATGCTCAAGGAACTAAAATAATACTAATAGGTACCCACCAGAGGCTTAACGCAGTTGACGTTTCTCGACGGTCACAGCAGACAAAATACCTTGAAAAGAACACCTCTTTGGAGAAAAAGTTCTCTTCTATAGATTGATAATAGTTGATCTAGCTAAAAGGCGTACGTGCTTCTTGTACTCCCCAACCCTTATAATATTAAATTGGCGACTAACTTCAACATGTTTTAGTCACTGGCGAAACTGCACTTCCAGCGTCAGTGTGCTCAATCGCATTAACTGTTGCAGGACTCTGGGTATTTTAAGAATAGTATGCAGTTTTTGTATTGATTTATTGGTCAGATTCAAAACCTTCCAAATGGTCATAACATAAGGAGGGGTTGAGAAATGGGGTCATTATTAATATATTAAGGCACGTTTGCAAAGCTTGTGAAAAGAGCACGAGAGAGAACATAATGACAGAAAAAAAATTAACTCAATTTAACTTCACTTATGTAAATCGTGCGATGGGTCGTAACATCAAAACAAGGTCACATGAACCCCACATCAACGGACCTTAAACCGAAGCACATATACAGGAGTTCAAATTTGCTGGTACTTTGATATGTTGGTCCATATAGCAATTTTGTCAACTGGACAAAGCTTAGGACACAAGAAAAATTAAGCCTTTCAATTCAATGCTAGAATTAACACCAATCCCCCCCCCCCCAAAAAAAAAAAAAAAAACAGCAGCTTACTATCGGCGGACTCACAGCCCACAAGGCGTGGCGTGTCCCGGCCTCTCTGTCCTGTGATGGGAAGGATCATTTGACTTTTGAGGAGAGCGGTGGGTAATTTCAGGTAATAAAATCTGAAAAACAGACTTGAAACGTAAACAAAAGTCTTGCTTATAGTTATTAGTCTTGTGTTTTGGTCGAAAAAGTAACAAAACATTCGACTGTGCAGTTTGCTGGTAGAAATGTCTTGCCTAAAGCAGCCTTTCCACTGGAAACGTTTAACTTGTTAACGAAATAACAAAACTTGATAGGATACTTGATAGGATAAGGTATTTTGAGTTACTCTACAGTTTAGTGAGTTAGCACTAGGCAACGGAATAAAGGGCGAACTGAAATGGAGTTTGCCCCTTATTCACTAAACTTCAGAGTTGTTCGGTTGGATAATAAGGAGCTTTAGATCGGGGACGCGACGGATCTGGGACGCGGCCGGAAGTAATTTTTCAAAGAAAAGGCTTCCTGTACATGCTCGACCCTACAAATTTGACGCGTCGTGAAGCGTACAGATCGCGAGTCAAAGGGATTTGGCGATGTGTAGAAAATGTGAGTATTAATTGCCCTTCTTTTAAACAAAATGGATACGTATGTACCTCTTCAACGTAGAATTCGAAACCCACAATCATACACAAAACTTTATCGCTGACAAAGTTGACGTTTTTCCCCTGATACTGACAGCTTACTGAGGTTTTAAGAGTCGGTAAGTACTTTTTGCAATGAATTTCGAATGCGAAAGTAATTTTAAGAGCAAATAGGAGCGATTTTGGATAATTATCCTCAAGATATGAGCGAAAATCGAGATAACAAAACATGTTTTGCTCGCAGACGAGTTCATGCTGTATCGGCTTAGTTGGGCTTAAGTTCTTTAAATTCGATGAAATTCGTTTACGTTGGGTTTTCACTGTCAAAACAACAGTCATTCTTCTGAAAAACGTCTTTGAATTCATGTTTAATAGGGCTCGATCAACTTTACACAGGTAGCGCTGATTTGAAGTTCTAGGAGAAAGGGTTTTAATTTCGGAACTTTCCCAGTGTGTTGGGCTAGTGATAACGCTATGGCCCTGCGCGTTGAAGGTCCTGAGTTCGGTTATGAGCAGTCCCTGTTTTTCTTTTTCTCTTCATTTTTTTTTTTAGTTTTCTTTTTTAGTTATTGCAGGTTTGTTTTTTCTTTATATAGCTAAAGCTCTTTAGATTTATAAACTTTCTTCCCTACTGCCGTTCCCCCGAAGTCCTTCGCGCGAGGTCCTGCGATTCATGTATTTCTAGTTTTACGACGAGTGAGGAAATGGTTGATTCATTATGCTACATGTTTTCTTCGTACAAAAATTTTCGTCATCATTGATTTGTTCTTCCGCGCACATTAACAGCATTTGGGCTTCATTAAATGATCCCATCTTTCATTTTGGTGAAAATAAAAAAATATTGAACTGGCGCGTAGGACAGACCTCGCGTCGCAAAACTAATTTATATATATATAAAGCTTATTTTTCCCGCGCTTAGAACGCCGTTCTCATTCCAGGCTTTTGCTCGCTCACCGCGTTCTAAAAGCCATCAAGTCCTCCATCTAAAGCTCCCTATTCAATTAAAAGAAAAAGGGGGAGGAGGGAAAAAGAAACTAAACTGTTATACTGATAGTAATTGTAGCCAACGCACCAGCAAAAATATAAGTCGTAAAAGAGTTTTAATTCAACTGGAACAACTCGAACTCTTAACCTTATTTACATGATGTTGTCAGTGGTTTCTAGGATAAAGTAACAAACATAATACATTAAGAGCGGAACGACTAATTACAACAATGGAAATAACGTAGGAAATACAGATAACATAAGAAATACGAGATAAACGAAGACAGAGGACATTACCTTACGATTTGGGAATACGGCGAACGAAGTAAGATAAAGAACGTAACGTAGTTGTACCAGCTAGCGAACTCGAGCAAGATACTTTACGATTTGCATAACCCGCGCGAAAGTCGAATTACTTATACGTAAACACGCGGACTGGGACTAGGCGGGGGATTGGTTACTACAGTAATCTCACAGGGAGTAATTTTCTGTAAACCACACTACTTATTAGGCTAAATCTGGAATTTGCTCGAGACAAATGTGACCAAAGACGGTTCTAAAATGAGATATCGGTAAAGCGGTATGAAAGTCAATAAAAAATGTCCTTATCATTTTCGCTGAGCCATAATTTTGTTGGGATTATGTCAATGCCACTACCTCATCCATCCAGCCATGAAATAGAAACACATCACCTAACTCTAGTTACTGAAACCTCACAGACCGATACTTCATCTGTAGTTCTTGGGTTAAAAGAAATACATCTGTCTAACGTTTAACTTAGTTAAGTATTGGAGAATTCTGATGTAAGATTTGTCCTAAATTTGTCCCAGAGACCCATAAACAAACCCAAATCTACCTCACTGTTGCATTGACCTTACAAGCGCTAAACAGGGACAGACACGCCACACCAGAATCTCCAACTCTGTTCCATTTCAGGTTTAAGTTAGTCAAGGAGGAGTTGGCTGTAAGAGCCTGCAAAAGAGACGCAGCACCGGAGTCACCAATCCTGTTCCCGTTCATTTTTAAATTACTCAAAGAGGAGTTGGCTGCAATTGCCCTGGAAAGGGAAGCAGCACCAGAATCACCAATAAAATTCCATTTCAGATTCAAATCAGTTAATGTAGAATTGCCTGCAACAGCCTCGGAAAGAGAGGCAGCAGCAGAATCTCCAACCTCGTTCCATTCCAAATTCAAAGAAGTTAACGAGGAGTTGGCTGCAAGACCCTTGAAAAGAGAAGGTGCACCCGGATCACCTATCCTTTTCCACTCAAGATTCAAATGGGTCAACGAGGAGTTGGCTGCTAGAGCTTGGAAAAGAGAAGTAGCACCTGAATCGCATATTTTGTTCCATTTCAAATTCAGACAAGTTAACGAGGAGTTGGCTTTAAGGACTTGAGAAAGAGAAGCAGCACCGGAATCGCCAATCCCATTCCGTTCCAAATTCAAACTAGTTAAGGAGGAGTTGGCTGCAAGACCACGGGAAAGAGAAGTAGCACCAGCATCAAGAAGGCTGTTCCGAGTCAAATCCAAGTTGGTTAAGGAGGAGTTGCCTAAAAGAGCTTTGCAAAGGGAAGCAGCGCCTGAAGGACCAATGTCGTTCAAACCCAAATTCAAATTTGTTATAGACGAGTTGATTGAAAGAGCCTGGGAGAGAGAAGCAGCACCTGAAGGACCAACGTTGCTACGCCACAAATTCAAATTAGTTAAGGAGGAGTTGGATGCGATAGCCTGGGAAAGACAAGCAGCGTCAGAGGCAGTAATCCTTTTCCCAAACACATTCAAACTGGTTAAGTAAAGGTGTAGTCCCAAGGTATGAGCTAAGCTTGGGCACTCCACAGTGGAGCTTCCTCCTGGGCACTCCACAATGCAGCCTAAAGCTAATAAAAAACGTCCCGAAATATCTCGATCAGACGTGCCTCCTACAAAATTAATATTTGCAGCCATACTTTTCACGAGAGACTCCGCTGTTTCCGTCGAGGTTATAAATCCAAACATAAATAAAAGGACTTGCTCCAGTTCATCCTGAAATCCCTGGTCAGTTGCAATAGAATCACAGGTCAAATTTCCGTCAAGAATTTGGCAAGCAAGATAGAATCCAGAAAAGAACTCCTGAAAGCTTTTGTGGAGAAATGAATAACGCACACGAGCTATCCTCTTACTGCTACTTGAGTGGACTGAAAGAAATCCAAACTTCGATAAGACAATGAAGTTATCGGAAAATTCATGTTCTTCAAAACACAACTCTCCTTTTCGAAGAGACTGTAACGCTAGTCGTCCAAGATGCATTAAATCTTCCTTGTAGACGCTCACTAGGTTCTCATTCTTGCTTGATAATCCCTGCTTCCTTTCATATCGTCTTAAAACACACAGGACAATCTCAATGTACAATTGAGTCCTGCTCGCTGGAAAAACACCGGCGAAATCTTCACAAAGAATACAGAGTAAAGTTACGTTTAGGGGATTTTTTGTCAATTCATATAAGTCTTTCCGCCCACCCGCTCCCCAAATCGTTTTCAACAGATTCTCAGTTAAGTACTCCTTTTTGATGCTTCTGAAGTACGTACGAATAAATTTCTTTGCGTCTCTCCTGGTGAACCCTACAATTTCCCACAGAGTGTCACAGTATCTCCTCAGTTTCCTTCCCACTTCATGACGAGCTGTGAGTACAATGTGACAACAAGAGAGTTCTTTACCCTCAAAAAGTGCAGAGATTTTCTTTAGTTCACCGGATTCCATTTCATCTAATCCATCGAGTACTAATAAGACCTTTTCCTGATTTTCACGAATGAATCTGAAGAAACATTCTTTAGCTCCATCTTCAATTTCCACGGGAAGAATTTGATCATCGATAGCTTCCCAGATGTCAGATCTTATTTCATGACATTTAAGAAGAAGTAGCACGTCAATGTCTGGAAAAGACGGGTTGAAATCCTTCTGCTTAGTTGCCCAATCATACGCAAGCTTTTGACAGTACGTGCTTTTACCCATGCCAGGGTCTCCTTCAACCAAGACCGTCCTCGGACTTTGGCATTCTACGTGCGGCTTAAAGATTGCAGTCATATCGGTAATATCGTCAGTAAGTACTCCTCGGGTTTTTTCTTTGCTCACGATCTTTAACCTGGTAAAGATTTCATTCAGATGAAAACTGAAATCTTCACACCAAGGAACGGGCAAGAGGCGTTGTTCACGCGTTTTGTAGAGCTGACGGATCCTTTCAACAATATCAGTTGGGGATGAAAAATCTAAAAGGATGCAAAATAACAAATTGAATTTAGTTTGGCTTGTGTAATGTGTATTAGGTTTCAATACCATACATAACAAAACAACAGCACCAAATTGACAACCAGGGTTGAAATAACGGCCTCTCAACCGACAATCTCCCGACAAAATGGATGGTCAATCATGTTGTTCGATCATTACTGTTGATAGTGGAAACTGCACAACACTTGACACGGGGACAGAAAACATACTAACAAGTAACAACTACATACAAAAAAAGAGCTTAAACATATTAACTTTACCATCCATTCTTCTTTCCTTCTCTCCTTCTCACATCTCAATATACGAAACTAGCACTGTCTTCTGTAAGGAGAGATTTCCCATGTATTCTTTATTTGATTCGAATTTCATATCTAGCTTTTAAATATTCCCTTTGAAGTTGTGTTAGCCGTAATTTACATTGAATTTGCATTGAGTTGTTTTAGTTCCCTTAAATTATACACATTTTACTTTAATGTTTACTTTTAAAAGGATAATTTGTTTCGGAATAGATATACAGCTTAGTCACTGAATAACTAGACCTTTCGCCTGTTTAAATACCAACCGTTCGTAGTTTTTAGTTTTGACATTTTAGGGAATCCTGAGCAAAGGAAATTCTAATTCTTTTACACAGCTTTCTTTGTAAATTTCCTAAATTCACTTGCTTGACTGACATTTAATTTTGAGTTATTTAGTTTAACATATGAACTTTAAGCTGAATTAATCCAGATTTGTTTTCGCTGTTCAGCTGATTTTATTCAGCCTTCTTTCCATTTGTTTTGTGATGTTCTAATAAGTTGATCGGTTAGTATAAATTAAATAGAGCACTGTTATTCCTGTTTTTCGATTTACATTGCGGGCCGGATTTACATGCTTGTACGATTTACATTGCGGAGTTATATGCTTGTACGATTTTACATTGCGGATTTAATTGATTGTACAAGTTACGTTAACGAGCTGAAGATTAAACTATTGAAGTCCAAGTTTGAGTCCTGTCCTGTTTCCAGTTGTAGCAGATCCGGTACCTTGGAATAGTGACGAGTTCCTTTCCCGCTAGCCAAGCGAGTCGCGAGTTAGTTTTCCCCCTTGTTGTTCTTTCTTAACGTTTCGTACGTATAAGTTTATTTCATTGGGTATGCGTACTCCGTTGGTAACCTATTCTGCGTGGTTGAGCTTAGTTAGTCTTCAAACCGCTTTTCCATGTCAGTTTGTTCGTACAGCATTAAAGCGATTTTTGTTTGATCGTAAAAAAAGGTTTCCGTAAGTGTTCATTCAGTGTTTGTTTTATCCGGTAATGGTCTTCTCCTTTGGTCGCCAAAGAAAACCCCTAAGAAGGAAAAATACCGCTCGATTGTCAAATTGGCAGACCAGTTGCTCTTGTCAAATAAATAAATTATTAAAATGAAAAATAAAAATTTCTTTTCACCAATGTTTTATTTTTCTGCTGGAAATGCATTACGCGTTTGCTTAAATCAACCAAAAGGCACGCACTTTTTACTCTGTTCTCTAAACCAATGAAATTCTCATATTCTTCTTTTTTGTTCTGATTTTGTGCGAGCGTACTCATTTCAACGTCAAACGACTCTCCCTTTATTCTTGCATTCTAAGCTCCTTTCAGTACGTCAGTCTATACGTATTGTTTATTCATGGCTTGTTTGATACCATTTTTCCATAAGTCTGTTCGTTCTTATTGTATTAGTCTTGTTTCTGACCTCGGATCCGGATGCCACTTCGTATGCTACTCATGTTTAGTTACCGCTTCTTCATACCGGTAACTGTGTTCAGATGGTTTAGTCTCGTCATCTTTTCACCGCTTTTCTCTAGGTCAGATCATTATTGTTGTGGTAGTCGTGTCTACTTAGTCACGTTACTTTGTTCGTGTAGTATATGCTTGTTGCCTTATACGCGATTTTCTGCACGGTTGCTTCTTTTGTAAATTATAAGACTTGCTTTCTTAGTGGCATAATATCATGTTCTCAGTGCTTCTTGGTTTATTAGTCCGCTCACAGGATAAAAGTCTGCTGCTTGTCCCCAGCTTAGGTCGTCTGCACTATACCTCGTGTAGTCTTCAGTATCCTCGTTTTCCATATGTTATTTCCAAGCGCACGTTAATTACTTGGGAAATAGGGGGTATCCTTTTTAACGTTTTTCTGCGTTTCTTTGTATCACTTTTCTTAAGCTAATCTTATACATACATGAGAGACCTTAGAATACACAGTTTCTGCTTTGGGCATGGGTAGGCGAACATGTTGCCTATAGGGCCTACATACGGATACAAAAGGAAACCCAGAATTCCCAGATGTGATAATGGTATCACCGTTCTACCCGGTAGCCCAGCCGTTTCTCCGGGCTAAGAGGAAATCGACCCCTACTCTGGGCTACGGGCACGGGTAATCTACCTCCACCAGTACACGAACAAAAGGTGTAACTGTCCGATAAAAATACAGCGTTATTTTAACC